CAAAAAGATTCTCAAGCAGTGTAAAAAATTCAGAACCTTCCAAAAGAGTCATCTTAATAGCATTTCAAAGGTTCCAATCTTTTCAAGACAACTGAGGTTTATTCTCCTATCTCCCATCTAGCTGGGTCCCACTCACTCACCTAGACAGCTCTGATGTAGACTCTCATCTGGCAATGTCCATGGCTCCTTTCCTTGCTCCAACATGACAACCTCTTCTTTAGGACCATGATATCCTGTGCAGGGGAAATGATAAAGGACAGGGTCCAACTAATTATACTTCACAGCCCAATCAATAAAGTCTTATTGTTCAATGAGACTATGTTCTTCAGCAATGTAACCATATACCTCTAAGAAGAAAAGTAACATTCTAAGTGTTCAAATGAGTTACAGAATCCTAGAAAACTCCAGGATATTACTTCACCTTATGTAAGATGCGTCACAGCAAGGTGACTGGGCTTACCTACTGACAGCAGGTGACTGTAGGTCTCCAGCATCACATCCCAGTAGAGGTTTCTCTGAGAAGGGTCCAGGTGCTGCCATTCCTCTCTGCTGAAATCTACAGCCACATCCCTGAAGGATACTGAATCCTGTAAGGGCACATTTTTATTCAATGTGAATAGTTATCTCTGGAAGATGGAGAGACTATATTTAGGAATATAAAACATGGGATTTCTTGCTGTGTTTAATTTAGTTCCTCTTTTTAAAAACTGACCTCTTATTTCCTTATTATGAAAATTTTCAAACATACAGCTAATTTGACAGAATTGTACAGAAAAAAATATATATACTCACAACTTACAATCTATCATTAAGACTCCTCTACTTGTTTTATCACACATATATCTACCTTTTTATCTATCCATTGATCCACTTTCTGTTTTGTGCATTTCAAAGTAAATTGTAAATTCCACTACATGTCCTCCTAAATACCTCAGGATGAAAACTAATAGCAAAAGTATACTTGTTTGCCTTTTTAGGTAAAATTGACATATACATAAATGCACAAATCTTTACCATTTCAACTTTGACAATTGTATATACCTGTATTATCCGGGATTTTCTTTTTCTTTTTTTTTTGAGACAAGAGTCTCATGATGTTACCCTCGGTACAGTGGCATGGTGTCACAGCTCACAGAAACCTCAAACTCTTGGGCTTTAGAGATTCTCTTGCTGCAGCCTGTGAAGTAGCCAAGACTACAGGTACCCACCACAATGCCTGGCTGTTTGTTTTGTAGTTGTCAGTTTTTAGCAGGCCCAGGACAGGTTTGAATCTGCCGGCTCCAGTTCATGTGGCCAACAACCAACTGCTGAGCAACGAGCGCCCAGCCTATCCAGGAACATTCTTATTTCTTTTCCTTTTTTGTTTTTTTGAGACAGAATCTCAATATGTCACCCTAGGTAGAGTACCGTAGCGTGACAGCTCACAGCAACCTCCAACTCTTGGGCTTCAGCAATTCTCTTGTCTTAGCCTCCCAAGTAGCTGGGACTACAAGCGCCCACCACAACACCCAGTTATTTTGTTAGAAATGCACTCTGGCTCTGATTCTGGCTCAGGCTGGTCTCAAACTCACGAACTCAGGCAATCCACCCACCTCAGTTGCCCAGACTGCTAGGATTACAGGTGTGAGCCACTGTGCCCAGCCCAGTTACTTGTTTTTAAAAACTCACATTGAGGGCGGTGCCTGTGGCTCCGTGAGTAGGGCGCTGGCCCCATATACTGAGGGTGGAAAGTTTGAACCCAGCCCCAGCTAAACTGCAACCAAAAAATAGCTGGGCACTGTGGTGGGTGCCTGTAGTCCCAGCTACTTGAGAGGCTGAGGCAAGAGTATTGCTTAAGTCCAGGAGTTGGAGGTTGCTGTGAGCTTTGATGCCACAGCACTCTACCCAGGGCGACAGCTTGAGGCTCTGTCTCAAAAAAATAAAATAAAATAAAATAAGAGGATCTTCACCCATACTCATGATGATAATGTGACCTAAACTGAGGAC